TTCTGCTTGGACCGTGACCAGTTTGTCATCATTATAAACTTGACTTTCTGGTGGAGCGTTGAAGGTACTGCCTTAGTGTCATGAATCCAAGGCCTGCCGAGGAGACAACTATATGCTAGAGTAATGTCTATTACATGGAAATAGACGTTGAAGATAGTAGGTCCTACTTGGATGGGCAGATTGACTTCTCCCACTACTTCTCGTCTGGATCCATCGAAGGATCGAACAATAGTGCTACTTGGGCGCAAACGGGTTCCTTGAATAGTCAACTTGTCCAGTGTGCACTTGGGCATCACGTTCAGGGATGACCTGTTATCCACAAGAACTTTAACAATGAGGTACTCCTTGCACTTGATGGAAATGTGCAAAGGTTTGTTGTGGCTTGACCCCTCGAGGGGGAGGTCTTCCTCTGTGAAGGTGAGGTGATCGCTAGCCGTAATGTGACCGACGATCCTCTCGACCTTTTCTTGGGATATAGTGTGAGGTACATGCGCTTCGCTCAAAACCTTCATCAGGGCGTTTCTATGCGGTTCTGAGCTCAACATTAGAGATAACATAGTTATCTTTGCAGGTGTATGATTGAGCTGGTCCATAAATATTTGCATTCTAACTTTCCAAAAAGGATAACTTTGCTCGGCAAAAAGTGGGGGTCTATTGATAGAAGCACCCTCGGTAAAGGTTTGGTTTTGTCCAGCCATTTTCAAAATTTGAATGACTATCAAAGAAAGTTTTGATACCACTTGTTAGAATCACGTAGTGGAATGTTCGCATTTAGGGACAAAAACCAAGAAGGGGGGTGAATTGGTTTCTTAAACAAAAATTAGGGTTTTGAAATTTTTCCCAAATTTCACCGATTAAAATGCTTTGTAAAGTAAAGAGATAAGGAAAAGAAGATTACACAGTTGATTTATACTGATTTGGATCAAAAGACCCTACGTCCAGTTGCTAATTACTCAAAAAGAGGATTAACACTATCACTATAATCATAGTTTACAACAAATTATAAATTGAAAAGATAAGGAATAGAAAACATCTCTCTTGAGTCACACAAGAGATGAACACCTCATTTGAATCCACAAAGGATGAACAACAGCTTTTCTTAGAGATGACACAACACACAATCCACCAAGAAACTCACTCAATGATTCTTATCGCTTCTAGCCCACACTAGGTTTTCAAAAGCCCATTTTTCTTCCCTACAGAAAGTTCTCTAGCAGTCACAGCTCTTAACTTTTGTATGAAAAAGGTTTGTTAATTTGCAGAGAGCCTTAGAGAACCTTAAGTAGAGAGAATAGAGTCTAGGAAATGATGATTTTCGAAAACATAAAGAATTGGGAATAGGGTTTTCGTAAATTGGTCCAGATTTGAATTTCAAAACTCATAACAGACGTAGATCATCGATTATCTTGAGTGATAATCGATTATAACAGAGCCATTTTCGCAGATAAGTAAAATAAGACCAGGATAATCGATTATTTGTGGAAATAATCAATTATCTAGTTGGGATAATTGATTATCCTGAGTGATAATCGATTATCACAGAGTGAATTTGATAAAAATGAGTTTTTAGATCATGGACTATGTGTTGTCTATCTTGTACTCTAATTTTACAGACTCAAAAACATAAAACAAAGTTATTACAAGTAAAATACACATGATTCTAAGTCTTCAAGTCTTTAAGTCCTTTGTTCTTGAATCATCATCAAAATCTTCAAGCTTCATATCCTTGTATGTTTAACAACTTGTTGGGCCTAAACAGGCTTTGTACTTTTTCTTTGACTCAAGGGGAGTTAAAAGATTACTAGAAGTGACATTATGTACTCCGTGTAAACTAGAAGTGACATTATGTACTCCGTGTAAACTAGAAGTGACATTATGTACTCTGTGTAAACTAGAAGTGACTATGAATAATACTTGGTTGTAATTAGTTGATAATAGTGGAATCCTCTAAGAATTTAATAGAGGAGAACTAAACATAGCTCTGGTGATTGAACCAATATAAAAATAAAGAAACAATTATAGAGAAATTCATTTGCAATCACTCTACATTCATTATGGTAATACTCCATTTCTTCCTCATTGATAAATTTGAGAGAGATATTCTTTTGGAACTTTAGGCATAATGGAAACTCCATTAGAATCTCCAGTAATTGTGCCCTAGGGAAAAATTTTATGTAAGGATTCATAGTTGCAAAGGGAATATTCAAAGCAAGAAAGTTCTTCAAAAATTCCTCTATCACATTCCCATGTTGAAAGGGATTCATAAAAGGAATGGATTTTAGGAAGAGGTTTTCCAAAATTGACTCTAAATTATTAGTGACATCTGGATTAGGAGGGATGGGGCTTCAAGGAATTATGGGTATTGAGGACTCTGAAAGAGAGAAAGTAGCACCTCAAGGGGTTATAAACAAAGGCTCTCTATGAGGTGACAGGCTAGGAAAGAAGTACAAAGGGGCACCTGGTAATATTGTTAGTGTTGCGAAGATTGTGGAAACATGCATATTTTGTCGAGAAGCCAAGACCAATGAAGAAATGCATAAGGCCATCAACATTAAGGGTGTCAATATGGATTGTAACCCATGAGTTAGCTCGGTACATCACAGGTTCGAGTCCAGTTGAATTTGATTTTTTTTTTCATTTCTTCTAATAATGGGTTAAAAATAATGGATTGTAACCCACCATTCATTTTAAATTTTAAAAATAATTATAATAATTTAGTAATCCTAATTTATGTTATCATGTCTCTCTACCTCTACTCCACATCACTGCTACAAGTGAAACTCTTATTCAAACTTATCATCAATTATTCGTTGCATCACTGCATTTGCTACTCCACTGGGTTGTTTGCCATTCGTCTATTGCATCACTATGTCATCATATTTGTTGCATTTCTCGTGCCATCGCATTTTAGTCATGTCACAATGTTTGTTGCATTTCAGTCGCGTCACAACATTTGTCGTGCCACCATGCCATAATATTTTAGTCTCGCGTTTCAGTCGCTAGACAAAGTTTGTTATGTCACCGCATTCGCCACACCATTGCATTCGTTGCACCACCATGCCACCGTGCTTCAATTGTACCATAATGTTTCCCGTGGTTTAGTCACGTTATTGTGTTTGTCGTGTCATCATGTCATTATGTTTCAATCTCGCGATTCAGTTGTGCTTATTAGAAAAAACATTGAAAAATAGAAAAATAAATATGAGTTAGTGAGTCAACCCATCAACTCGTAGTTCTTTGAATCGAATTGTGAAATTTCTGACTCGTCATAAAGTGAGTTAGGTTGAACTCGCATATTTTTTGCTCAACCCATGGTGAGGTAACCGTGTGAGCCGGGTTGACTCACTTTGACACCCTAACATTACTAAGAATGACCAAAAGGAATTCATTTATTGCATTAATAACATTTATTGCAACCTACAATTACACTTAGTTGCAAAATACAAAAATAAGGAAAGGGAAAGGAAACAAAATCTAACATTAGCGGGAGGAAAATAATTTAACAAAAAAAATAAAACCAAAAGACAACTATGGAATTCTTGACTTCAAATTTTAAACCACTTTGTCTCGTCCCACCTAAACTTACACCGCACCAATTTTCTCAACACCATGAAAATATGTTAGTTGTTTTCTTTCTATTCTCTCAAACATCTCTATATAGCAACTAAAAAAAGAGGGATAACCTAAAACAAGGGTGACATGTGAGACTAGGGTAGAGTTACATTGAGTTTTTTGGTTTCACACACATTTAGTATCAGAAGTTACATGTATTCAAAATAAGTCGATTGGTTTACGTGTTGGATAACTCATATGTAACTCGTCACGTAATGAATGAATCTATTTGAGATGTGTTAGATTTGACCCAATCACGTATAAAAATTCAATACAATTTGTTTGGATTGAATTGTGTGGACATTCGATTAACTCCTAATAAAATCCTGGATAAAGTTTGGTTTTTCAATTTGGAGATTATTTTTATTTAATGGCATTTTGGTGAAAGGTTAAGAGAGAGATTAGGATGATGGTTGAGATTTTTGTTTTACTTTTTAGGTTTAGGAGAGTAGTGTAGAGAAGGTGGTTTGGGCGATGAGACAATGGTGGATTTTAGTTATTATTTTTTCTTTTTGAAAAAAAAAATGTCAACATTAAAGTAATACTAACTCAACGTATATGTTCACTTAACGACAAGATTTGGATCCTTTCCTGCTGCCATGTCTCTCCGGAACCGATTTCAACAATTGATTTTATATCTAGTGATTCTTAAAATTAAAAGTATAAAAAAATTATAATTCAAATCACTATGTAATGGTAATGGTAATGTAATTATTATTGTAAGGATCGTAATGTTTGGGAGAATGTAAACTCTTAACGACTATATCAAAATCCTTTTTTATTTAATGAAATTGAAATGAGATCGTACTAATTAGATGAAATCCAGGAGCATTTTCTGGTTCTATTATTTATTTATTTTGTTCCTTTATTAATAAAAAATTCAATTATGTCTTTCAATTTTAAAAATGCAAAAATGTTTATTCTCATTATTTAATCAAATCCCTTAATTATTTAAAATGCAACTATGTGATCCTTCTATTTGATGAAATTGACGTGGTTAATTTCATGAACTGCCATTATGCATTACATATAAATTGCATTATAGGTAAATTAAAACCGCTAATATTTGTTTGTTAATTATTTTATTTGTAATTGAGGAAAAAATGCTCCCATGATTAGGTTTTTAAAAATTGGGTTCATTGAGGTTTTTCTAAATATTGGGACTAAATTGAATTAAAAAATAAATAATAAAACTAAAGAATGAATAAACCAATCCAAACTTACAAAACCTATTCAACAAATATTTAGATCATCATCTTGGTAGCATGACATGGGCAATGGGGTCCCTCTTTATCTTCCATTTCTTGAATTAAAAAATAAATAATAAAACTAAAGAATGAATAAACCAATCCAAACTTACAAAACCTATTCAACAAATATTTAGATCATCATCTTGGTAGCATGACATGGGCAATGGGGTCCCTCTTTATCTTCCATTTCTTGAACTGCTTAGAAGCAGCTTTCAGTGCTCTTGCCCATCGCTGGATGAAATAGAAATGGAAATTATTTCCAATGCATAAGAACATTCAACATTTGCCCCTTTCATTTGAAGGTAAAACATGCTTGCTCAATACCGGTATTCAGAATTTTCAGATCTCTATACATTTAAAGGGAAAAAAATGCAACTTCCATAAACACAATACTAAAATTGCCAAAAACCCAGATAAAATAATTAGTTCGACCTTATAGTTTGTTAAAAAAATAAAAATAGGTAGTAGCTAGTTTGTTAGTTGTTAATTACAAATAAAATCTGTATATTCAGCCCAGTAATATCACACTCACACATATGCTGTATTTTTCTCAGCATATATTAGTCCAAAAACAATGCCTATATATTCAAATTTCCATTATGTTTCTCAACCTTCACAGATCCAAAAACAAAATCTAAATGGGAATCAGAAATATTAAACAAAAAATGGAATGTAACTCAAACAAAATTACCTTGTTCATGATGGGGTTGCAAGCACCTTTAAAGGGTGTTGGTGAGAAATCAGAAGGCAGGTTTTTGTTCTTGCTCTTGCTATGTTTGTTGATGAAATGAAGGTTGAGATTGAACTTGTTCCTAAGCTTAGAACCCACCTTCTTGACACTGCACCTTGCACCCAAACCCATGTCATAGGAAAGCTTCTTTGGAGTTATGAGATCCAAATCCATTGGACTGCAGGGTGTGGGAAGCAAAGGGGACCATATTGTGCTCTGAGAGTAGTCAAAGTCATAGGCAGAGTTATCTGGAAACTTACAGAGAAGCTCAATAGACATCTTTGGCACCAAATACTCCACCACTTTTGTAGTTTTCAACAACACTCCTTGATCGTCTTGTTCTTTCTCTTTCTCTAATTTTCTTTCAGATTCCATTGCAAAACACAAATGGGTGTGTTTTTCTTGTTCCTCTCTCTTTATTTTCTTTGCACCTAGCAATTGGGAAGCTTTCGATGATGTTGGGTAAGCCAAAAAGGAAGAGAGAGAAACACTCACAACGACACGCAAAGTAACCGTTGCGAATTGTAATGTCTGTCGTGTCCCAACAACACTCACGTGATGTTCATTGTTTTTCCTCAATTCACTGAATAAAAATAATAAAATCTTTAATGCGACAATTGAATAAAGTACTCTTTTAATTTATAGGATAAGAAAACTTAATGACATGCACGTTTGATTTAGTTTGGATTAAAATAATTAAACTTAAAATGCTAAAATAACCGGATTATATTGAATAAACCACTGATTTTTCTCCTTAGATATTACGTATATTTGTTTGAAATTTTTAAAAAATATTTGTTAATAAAATAATAATTTATTAGCAAGTTTTACGTATTTGGTAAATTTATTAAAAAGTAAGTTTTTAGAAGCAACTTGTAATTGTGTATTAAAAATAACAGTTGAGTAAACGAGAGAAACAAGTTGAATAAATAAGTTTTCCTTTTTGTAATTGTAAATAAACATGTTAATTTCTAATTATATTATAATCACTTTAAAAATATATTACATTTTATACTCACTAGCGTAAAAATGGGCTTTTACGTCAGATATTTAAGGTTTTTTACGTCGTATTTAAGTCCGACGTTAAAACGGGAGACGTAAATTTACGTCGGACCCTTTAGCCCGACATAGATTTACGTCGGTTATCAAGACCCGACGTAATTTTGCGTGGCATATACCACTAAACGGACGTAAAACTTTCGAAAAAAAACAAGCAAATTTACGTCGCATATGGTATATGCGACGTAAATTTACGTCCCATATACCATATGCGACGTAAATTTGTTGTTTTTTGTTTAAAAATTGGGTTTATTTATTCTGTTTTACAACTAAAACCTGTAAATATTACAACCAGACAGTCCAGAGGTTCAGTTTTCTTTAGCTAGTAAATTAAAAATATAATATTATATAATTCAAACTACATAATAAAACAATATAATACAAACATACAAACTAAAAAATCTATTACAAACTAAAAGTTAATACAAACTAAGCTACCTAAACTACATAATACACACAATATAATATGAACAAGAACTTAAAAAATTATGTACTAGAATTGTTGAACAAAAAATTTTGCCCATTGTTCTCTAATTTGTGTAATATCGATTCTCGGTAATGGAGATGGATCTTGAAATACCCGAAACATGAATTTGACTCTTGTAAACATGCAACATGAATAAAGTTAAATAAACTTAACTAATGTTAAAAGTAATTACCTTCGTCCAAGAATCAATTAAACCCGCACAAACTATGACTCTCATCCAATACATTACATAAGTAACCACATTCAAACGAGTCCGTTTGCTTATTACACCGAAATGATGAAAAAAACATAATATTATTTTCAAAATTTAAATACAAACAATAATTATGGTATTCACTTATATAAATAAGTTTCTAACCTTAGGATAAATGAACTGCAGAGTCTTTGTTCTAGGTTTTCCACTTAGAACATTAGTTCCGATACATGATTCTAAGTGAAAAAAGTCATATATTATTCAATATGTATTTATAATTTAAAAACATAATTAATGAATAAAAGATAAACTTACCCTTGTAATAAGCTTTTCATTTCTTGACTCGGTTTCCGATGTAATGAACAAAACCACACCACGAGTGTAATCCCGGGTATGATTACAATTAACTCGCCAATGGGACCTACATTGTATGACATAAAAATTAGTTACAAAAATATAAATTAAAATACAAATTAAAATACTAACCCTTCAATGTATGGAGCCAAATATATATGTTTTTTTGAGTCACTCATCCATGTTTGCATATATTGTTGGATTCCAACCTTTGTATTTCCAGCATTTTTGGATGGATTGAGGCTCAATAAATCCGTATACTTCGATTTTTCTTGTTCCACACTCAATTTGTCCATGTACCTAAAACAATTAATTATAAGTTGAATATAATTATTATAATCTTAGAAGCATAAATGAGAATGACTTACATTGCCCACAATTATATGATGGAAATGTTTAACATGCAATTTCCCCAAGAATTTCTAAAGCATTGGGCAAGGAAATGTATAATGGAATACTTGAACTGCCAATTCCAAACACTCTAAAATCACATTGTATCCGACACGTGTCTCTTCCTCAACCGTGGTAATATGGTCAACAACATAGAGATGGGATCATCATCACATTCCGTCGATCCTCATCAATAATAGGTTGTTTTTTATGCTTACCACGACGCAAGGCCTCCTAAACAAATGATAACAATGAATTAAACATTTATATAATTATAATAGTAGAAAAGAGAAAATAGACAATATATATATATATATATATATATATATATATATATATATATATATATATATATATATATATATATATATATATTACTACTGTGCCGATAAGTGGCATAACCAAGCGTCTTGGCCAAGCCAAGAATGTCCCACTTGCTTGCCCCACTAATTGAATCTCTTCATTAGGAAAAGGCACTCGGAGCATTAGCATCATGAACTTCATCAACTACTACTCGTGTCTAGTCTCGCTCGTAGAGGGACACCATGGATGGTTAAGCCACCCTCAAAACTCGACCAATAGCCACTAGACGCGGGGTCATCTTCAACATATAACTCACACCGGTGTGATGCATCGATCTGAGTATATTCTCCTGAAGGATCGCCAGTGAGTAGCAAGCACAACTCCCTTTAGTGCCGACTCGAACAACATCATGTTCAATTGTTTGAGGTGTTCCTTGAGTCTCGTTGTCGAGAGCGGGCGAGACATTCAATTTTTTCATCAAACTCTTGCTGCAAGGACTCGCCTTATTTGATTTAACTTTTCTTCCAACCGCATCTCCATTTTATGCAAGGCCTCCCGGCTGCAAGAGTCAGCAAGTGGTCCTTCGTGATGTTGGACCAAAGTAATCACGAAGGCCCCAGTGTTCCACCTGCACCACGCACACGTCCTGAGTAATCTGGTTTTCCTATGGCTGTCGCCAATATATCTTGTCGACCATGAGAAATAAATGATCCTTGGTTGGTCTGCTCAACTAAATCATCCTACAACACATTAATAATAATTAAGTCATACACTAACTTTCACATTAGAATCAATTCAAATTGACATTATAACTTACGATTTTCTGAGCAATGATTCGTGAAGACTCGAAGTCATTTGTCCATCAGATTTTGTCCGGCCGGCTTCCACATCTCGATAGCGAGGGGTGGAGATGCAAGGTCAGTAGAATCAACTCCTGCTGACTCTTCTCTGGATTTCATGAGACATTGCTCCAATAATGCATACCCTCCTCGTGACAATACATGGGGTGCATCATTCAACCTCCGACGTTGTTGGGCAAGACGTCTTTTATCCTCGCCAAGAGGGGTCCATTCGGCCGGCACAAAATTGTAACCAATCCTCCTCACTAATTTGATACTTTAGACAGAGAGATTCATCTTGAAACTTTCCAAATACATACTCCCGTGTCAAGAAAGTCTTAAAGTCCCTCCATCTAATGACAATGGAGGATAAAATCTTCTTCCTCATCACCTCAGATGTTAGGAACATCAAAATTTTGTCGTGAAATGACCAATAAATGTTAAATTCAATTAATAATGATATATAAAGTATTCAACAAATATAGAAATACCCGAACATCCCGCCACATGAGGTTCTTCTCGCTTCCTCTACATCATCCCAAGATGGAGTAGTAATCGGAACATGGTGTCGAGCTAGTAGTCCCAAATAGCTCTTAAACTTAGCAAGCATTTGGGCCGGATGTCTTACCGTAACGTGGATCAACTTCAACTTGAGTTTTCTCTCTAGCTACCCTCCTTGCTGTCAACCCCTTTAACCGAGTGACAGATCTACCTTTATCACCACTTCCGCTCCTCGCCATCGCCACTACCACTACCAAGCATCCACTGTGGAATCCGACATATCCTCGAAAAACAAAACAATATGAAGTCAACATACTTTATAAGTTTGAATAAAAAGAACTAGAAAATGTGAAGATAAACACCTATTATGTTGGTATGTTTTCCCATATCCCTTCATCATGATCACTTCGAATTGCATGTATGTCATCAACTTCATTGTCAACTATGTCATCAAATGGTCTACTTGAAAATGAAGGTGTTTCATGTATATCTAGAGACTCATCTTCATTAATTCCGTGCATGCTTCTTCCTTCAAGGACAATTGACCATCTCTCATTACATGGATCCTTGACATAAAATATTTGTCTCGCTTGATATGCCAAAATAAAAGGTTCATCCTTATACCCAACTTTACTCAAATCAACCAAAGTAAATCCTAGGTCATCTGTTCGCACACCCGTATTCCCTTCAACCCATTTACACTTGAAGACGAGACACCCTAAAAGTAACATAATCAATTTCCCATATCTCTTGTATGACCCCAAAATAACTCATAGAAGCCGTGATAGGATTTTTTGTCTTTAGAACTAGAAAAATGCATAGATTCAAGCTTTGAATTGTGACCCCACTATTTTGTACTCTACCTTTATCATCTTCTATTTTTGAGTAGAAACAATAGTTATTAATGTCATACCTACCAAATGTAATGACATCACTATTAGGCCCACGAGCAAGTCTCAAAAGTGTTTCTGAAGCATTAATCTCAACATATACCCTTTTTTTAAACCAAGAAAGGAAACTTTTGTTATGTTCATTCAATACCCATTTTTCATTCATTCGTGGATGTGTTGCCTTTATTTCAGCTTATGTGTTGTGATATGTAAGGGATTACTTCATCGTTGTTGTTCAATATGTATAAATGTGCTTGGTCAACTTCTTTCCGACTAACATTTTTAATCTTTAAATTTCGAGTACCCTTACCTTCACATCTTCCATCATGTCTCATCTTAGGAATACCTATTGGTTCCGA